CGGCAGGGATGGCGGTCGACCGGGTGGTGGTCCACCCCGATGCCGATCGGCAGCGGTTTCGGCATCGGGCTGGAGATGGAGGCGGTCGCGCAAGTCGCGATGATTGCCGCCAAGCTGAAGCGGCCGGTCAATCTGCAATGGTCACGCGCCGACGATCTGCGTCGTGATGCCTTCCGCGCGCCGCGCTCGCCCGGATGACGGCGCGGCTGGAGGGTGGGCGCATCACGGGTTGGCGCAGCCGGATCGCGACGTCGTCGACCGGATCGGCACTGGCCGAGCGGCTCCTGCCCAGTGGCCTGACGCGCTTCGGCATGACGGGCGACCGGCACGGCGATCGCTTACGCGATGGGCGGCGCGGTGCCGGCCTATGCGGATTCCGGCGCTGGCAGTGCATCATCACCCGCCGAGCTGCCGCTGCCGACCGGCCATGTGCGGGGCGGCGCGCGTGGCGAATTGTTTCTTCACCAGATCCTTTATCGACGAACTGGCGGCGCAGGCCGGGGCCGATCGGCTCAATTGGCGGCTGGGAATGCTGCGCGACGAGCCCCGGCTGGCGCAATGTCTGTCGACCGCTGCCTCGCTGGGCGGCTGGGAAGGCGGCGGCGCGGGTAGCGGACAGGGGCTGGCCGCGCATCGCTTTCGCGGCAGCCATGTCGCGGTGTTGGCCGAGGCACATCGCGCCGGCGGCCGGCCGGTGGTCGATCGGCTGGTGGCGGCGGTCGATTGCAGGCGGATCGTCAGCGGACATCGTCCGCCAGCAGATTGAGGGCGGGCGATCTTTAGCCTCGCCAATCTGTTCAGCGCGGCGACGGGGGTTCACGCGGGGCGAGGCGGATGCCGATCGGTTGGCGAAACTCCATCTGCCGCGCCTCGCCGACATGCCCGACATCACCGTCAACTGATCGCCTCGACGAAGCGCGGGCGTGTTTCCGAATCCGGCCGTGCCGCCGGTCCCCCGCCATCGCCAATGCGCTGGCCACTTTGGGGATGCGTCACGGATACGAAGCCTGCCGATGGGTTTCCGCCTGATGCTGCCCCCGATCATCCACCCGTCCGCGTCCGAAAGATCGGCGTGCTCCTGATGAACACAGGCACGCCCGAGGCGCCCCGAGCCGCGCGCGTGAAGCGGTATTTGCGCGAATTCCTGTCGGATCGTCGCGTGATCGAAATACCCGCGCTCCTCTGGCAGCCGATCCTGCGGCATCATCCTGAACACCCGGCCTAAGAAATCCGCCCATGCCTATTCGCTGGTGTGGCGCGATGATGGATCACCGCTGTCATGATCACCCGCGCGCAGGCGGTGGCGCTCAAGCGATGCGTTCAGGCCGGGCGTGATGGTCGACTGGGCGATGCGCTATGGCCGGCCCGCCATCACCGAGCAGGTTCAGGCGATGAAGGATGCCGGGTGCGAGCGCATCCTGCTCGCTCCCCTATATCCGCAATATTGCGCGGCGGCGACGACGGCGACCGCCAATGACAAAGCTTTCGCGCATCTGGCCCACGATGCGCGCTGGCAACCGGCGATCCGCACCTTGCCGCCTTATTATGACGACGCGCTCTATATCGATGCGTTGAAGCAGCAGGTCGAGCGCAGCTCGCCGCGCTCGATTTCGAGCCGGGCGATCGTCGCCAGTTTCCACGGCATGCCGCAGCGCACGCTGGAACTGGGCGATCCCTATCACTGCCATTGCCGCAAGACCGCGCGCCTGCTCGCCAGAGGCGATGAAGGAGACGCTGGGCGGACGCAATTGCTGGTCGCGTTCCAGTCGCGATTCGGTCGCGCCAAATGGCTGGAACCCGCGACCGACACGACCTGGAGGCTGCCGGCCGGCGCGCGGTATCAAGAAGGTGGCGATTTTGGCCTCGGCTTCTCCGCCGATTGTATCGAAACGCTCGAAGAACTGGCGATTCCGGGGCCGCGAAAGTTTCGAAGAGGGCCGGCACCCATTTTTTCGCCTATCTGCCCTGTCTTAACGACACGGATGTCGGCATAAAAATGCTGAAGGATTGATCGAACGCGAGCTTCAGGGCTGGTTGCCGTAGCGTAATATTGCGTATCAGGTCCGTCTTGGCCATTGCGGAGAACCTTGTCTTTTAAGCCACAATCTCATTTGGGGAGAGGTTTGATGGCTCAGGTTGCAATCGTGACGGGTGGTACGCGCGGTATTGGCGAGGCGATCAGCTGGCCCTGAAGGAGGCCAGCGTCACCGTCGCCGCCAATTATGCCGGCAATGACGAGCGCGCGCGGGAATTCTCGGAGCGGACCGGGATCAAAGGCCTATAAGTGGGACGTCGCCGATTATGACGCGGTGCAGGCCGGTGTCGCACAGGTCGCCGAGGAACTCGGCCTGGTCATCGTCGTCAACAATGCGGGCATCACCACGGCACGCTGTGGAATGACCACACCAGATGTGGAAGGTCATGGACGCAATCTTGGCGGTTGCTTCAACATGGCCAAGGCGGTGTTCCACGGCATGCGCGAAGCGCAGATGGGGCCGCATCGTCAACATCGGATCGATCATCGGCGGCGGGCCAATATGGCGGTGTTAACTATGCCGCCGCCAAGTCCAGGCATCCATGGTTTTCTGAAGGCGCTGGCGCAGGAAGGAGCGCGTGTCGGCGTGACCGTCAACGCGATCGCACCCGGCCATATCGACACCGACATGGTCGCCGCGGTTCCCGCCGACGTGCTGAAAAGATCGTCGCCAAGATCCCGGTCGGCCGCACAGGGCCGGGCGCATGAGATCGCGCGCGGTGTCGCCTTCCTCTGCTCGGACGAGGCGGGCTTTTCGTGACCGGCTCGACCCTGTCGATCAACGGCAGCCAGCATATGTATTGAGGAATGCAAAACGCCGACCTCCGCTGGGAGACCGGCGTTCCGTCCTCGATACGCTACGCGAGGAAAACCGGGGCAGGTGGGGCAGATGCTGGCCCCGTCCGCCTAACTTTGCAGCGGTAATAGCCCGGGCGGCCCGGACCGCTCGATCGCACGGCCGGCGAGGCGCCACCGGCACCGCCGATCACGGTGCCCAGCGTGCGGTCGCCATCGGTGTCGATGGTCCGGCCCAGCAGACCGCCGGCGATCGCGCCGACGATGGTGCCGGTCGTGCCCGAGCGGCGGCACTTGCTGGCCTGATATTCGGCGCGGGCTCCGTCGGCATAGCCACGGTTGTAGCGGTCGGCATGATAGCCCCTGGCGATAGTGCGCGTCCGCGGCGGTGGCAGGCAGGACTGCGCCGCCGATCATCGCCAGCGTGGTCGCCGCCGAGGTCAGGGTCTTCATCATGGTCTTCACTCCCGGATCTTTCATCGACTGACGGTCCCGTCCGTCGTCGTTGATCGACTTCTGGGCGATTCGCGTTGAGCGCTTCCTGAATGCCGCCGTTATCCGCCGTTCCGGGAAAAGAAATTGGGACAGGACCGGGGATTTGGCGGCTGTCCAGTTGCGGTGCAGCGCGTATGAGGCGGCATGCGCGTGCTTCTGTCCTGTCTGTTGCTGCTGGCCTTCGTGCCCGGATGGTCGGGGAGCAGCGGCTGGCCCTGCTGGGGACGACGCCGCAGATGGAGGTGCGCCGTCGCGCTCGATCCGCATGATCCGGCGCGGCGTCGTTTGGGCGCTCTGACCTATCTGGGCGGCGTCACGCTGCGCAGTCGCGATCCGGCCTTTGGTGGCTTTCTCGCGCTGGTGGTGACGGGCGACCGGTTCCTGTTACTCAGCGATGGCGGTAATTTCGTGCGGTTCCGGATGGGAGGACTGGCGGCCGCACGGCCTGCCTTCGGCAATCTACCGGCAGGGCCCAGCGTCGGTTGGCAGAAACCAGGACCGGGACAGCCAATCGCTTGCTCGCGATCCCCGGACCGGCGCGCGCCCTGGGGTGGGGTTTGAGCGCTATAACCAGATCTGGCGCTATATACCCCCGACTTTGCCCGGGCGGAGGGCTATGTCGCGCCCGCGCCATGGCACGCTGGCCCCGCAATGGCGGCGCCGAGTCGCGCTGGCGCGCATATGCCCGATGGGCGATTCATCACCATTTCCGAAGAGGCGACGGTGTCCAAAGCCGAACGACGGGGGATGAAAGGTCGCCGGCGAGCAGACACGGCAGGGGGCTGATCTTCGCGGGCGATCCGCTGCGCTATCGGCCGCCGTTTCATCTATCAGGTGTCGCCCGATCACGACGTCGCCGATGCCGCCGCACTGTCCGACGGATCGCTGGTCGTCGTCGAGCGGCGGTTTCGACTGCCGTTCCGATTCTCAGAATCCGGATCATGTGGGTCCCGGCGGCGGAGATCGCACCGGGGCATCTGGCGCGGGGCAGGCTGCTGGCGGACTGGACGCACCGCTGATCCACGACAATTTCGGGGCGTGGCGGTGACCGGGAGGGCAGGGGCAACGATTCTCTGGCTGGTGTCGGACGACAATCAGACGGTGTTGGAGCAACCTATCTGCTCAAATTCCGGTTGGATCAGCAGCCGGCCGCCGGTGCACGCTGAGGCGTGGCCTTCGACTGCGCTCAGGCTGAACGGAATGTGGGTATCAAGCGCGGCTATCCGCCTCGCCCTTCGGCCCGTTCCGCCTGAGCGCAGTCGAAGGCCACGGCAAATCCGAATCCCAACGAGGAAAACCCGCCGCTCCGGGGAGCGGCGGCTTCAAACCTCAGGCACGCTGCGCGAGATTACGCGGCGGCGGCTTCGGTCTTGGCGCCGGCCAGCTTCTTTCTTCGACGTCGCGCTTCAGGCGACGGGCGCGCAAGGAAAGCTGGTCGTCCGAGGTCTTGACCAGCCAGTTGTCGAGGCCGCCATTGTGCGACCGAGCGCAGGCCGTGGTCGAAACGCGAAGACGGACGCTCTTTTCAGCGCGTCGGAAATCAGCGTCACGTTCTGCAGGTTCGGCAGGAACGTCGCTTGGTCTTGTTGGCGTGGGAAACATTGTTGCCCACCCGCCAGCCCTTACCGGTCAGCTCGCAAATGCGCGACATGATCGTTATCACGGTTTTCAGGCAATGCCCGGAAAGGCCGCGCGGATACCGTGTTCCCGTGCGCCCGTCAACCGATTCCCCATGGGCGACCGTGCAACCGCCCTCCGGAACAGGGCGTTGTTACGCCAACGAACCTGTTGGAGCCAGACCCATGCGCGCCTTTCTTGTATTAATCGGCATCGTCCTGCTGCTGGCCGCCGGTGCCATGGCGATGGGCTGGATCAAAGATCGACCAGACGCGCCCCGCCGTGGTGCAGGCGCCGACCTTCCGCGCCGAAGGGGCCCAAAGGTGTCGGTCGGCACCACCCAGAAGACCGTCAGGTGCCTACCGTCTCGGTCGAAAAAGCCCGCCGACAACGCGCAATAAACTTTCATATCCAGCCCCTTGCCCGCGTATGTGACGCGGGGCAGGGGGACATGATATTCCCGCTGCCCGAACCGATGCGCACAGCGCTCGATGCCGCCGGCGGGCTGGGGGAAGAAGGCGAAGCCGGTGGGGGCGGTGATCGTCCGTCACGGCCAAGTCGTTCTCGGTCGCGGCCAATGCGCCCGCCGCCTGCATGATCCCACCCGCCCATGCCGAAATCCGTGCGATCGCGCCGCCGCGAGAAATCCAGGCCGAGCGACCGGAGTGCGATCTCCCTGGTCACGCTGGAGCCCTGCGCGATGTGCGCCGGAGCCATCGCCCCTGCCCGGATCGCGCGACTCCTGATATGCAGCCAGCGATCCCAAGGAACATGGCCCCCGCTTCTTCGGCCAGCCGACCTGCCATCACCGGCCGGAAATCTACGCCGGGATCAGGGGAAGCAGAAGGGCCGCTCCTCCGTAGTTTCTTTGCGGCGCGGCGATAGCCCATGTCGATCACCATCAATCCCGACGATTTCGAAACCTCAGATGGGCGGGTTTGGACGCCTGAGCGCAACGCGGCTGCTTGGTGCCAATCCTGTGAGGCGCTGGAGCAGGCGATACGATCCGCCTCCGATCCTGCGGGGTGATCTTGTGCGGCATCCGAGGGGGCGGGAAAGACGAGTTGGATCGCGGCGCAACCCGTATAACCGGCCACCATCTATTTCGATGCGGCGTTGCCCGGCGTACGTCACCGCGCAAAGATCGTCGCGATCGCGAAGCGGCTGGGGGCGAATCGACGCCGTGTGGATCGACACGCCGCTGACCATGGCGATCGCCCGCAATGCCCGGCGTTCACCGGACAAGATCGTGCCGGTGTCCGCGATCATCTCGGTCGCGAAGCAGTTCGAGGCCCCTTCGCGCGGAGGGTTCGATGATGTTCAAGTGCACAAAGGGGACGTGACGGGCTCTCCCTGAGCAAATGGCAAAAGGACCGGATGGCATCCCATCCGGGCCCGCACGGCGATTTTTCGAACTGGGAGCGATCAGCGCAGATCGCCCTCGGATCGGCACGATCTTGATCTCGACACGGCGATTGGCGGCGCGGCCGGCATCGGTGTCGTTCGAGGCGATCGGCTGCGACTTGCCGAAGCCGCGCGCGTACCGATACGGGCCGGTTGCACCCCGCGCGACGCGAGATAATCGGCCACTGCCACCGCACGCCGCTCGACAGCGCCTGATTATGGCTGTCGCTGCCGGTCAGATCGGTATGGCCGTACACGTCGATATAGGTCTGCTTATACTGCGACAGGATGTCGGCGACCTGATCCAGCGTCTGGCGGAACTGCGGCTGCACCGTCGACAGATCATAGGCGAAGGTGATGCCCGAAGGCAGGTTCAGCAGCAGGTCGTCGCCTGGCCAGACCACCTGCACATCGGTGCCGGCGGTGCGGGCACGCAGATCGCGCTCCTGCTTGTCCATATAGGCGCCGATGCCGGCGGCGAGCCGCCGATCCCTGCGCCGGGATCTTCTCGGTCCGGTCGCGTCGACCGCCGACCAGATCGCCGAGCAGATAGCCGCCCACCCGCGCCGCCGCCGCCGATCGCCGCCTTGGACAGGCGCTGCTGCCCGTTTTCCGGATCGGTGGTGCAGGCGGAAGTGGCGACCAGCGCCGACAGCGCGGCCATGGTCAGGAATTTTGCGGACGTCTTCATGCGCGTAACCCTTGTTAATATGTCGCGTCTCTACCCCGAAACGCGGAGCCGGTGACGCTTATTCCGCAAGCGATCTGAACGGGAAGATGACGGCGGGAGTTGTCGAAGGCCTGTCCGGCCCGCTGCGAGCACTCCACCGATGGCACCGCTGCCCCCTTCCCCGGATCGACGTCCTCATCATCCTCGCGCTCGTCGCGTTGAACGGGGCCTTTGCGATGAGCGAACTCGCGATCGTTTCCGCCCGTCGCGCGCGGCTGGAGGATGGCCCGGGGCGGGAACAAGGGCGCGCAGGCCCGCGCTGGCGCTGGCCGCCGATCCGGGCAAGTTCCTGTCGACCGTCCAGATCGGCATTACGCTCACCGGCATTATCGCGGGTGCCTGTTCCGGGCGCGAGCCTCGGCACGCCGACAGCCGCGCGGCTGCAGGCGTTGGGCATCGCGCCCGCGACCACCGCGACTTTGGGCTTCGCGCTACTGGTGATCGGCCTGACCACCTATGCCTCGCTGATCACGGAGAGCTCGTCCCCAAAGCAGTTCGCGCTGCGCAAGCCCGAGCCGATCGCCGCCTTTGTCGCGATGCCGATGCGCGCGCTGGCGATCATCACCGCGCCAATCGTCTGGGTGCTCGATTCGACCAGCGGCATCATCTTCAAGCTGCTGGGCCTGAACCGCGACAATGAGGATCAGGTAACGGCCGAGGAACTGCACCTGATCGTCGCCGAGGCCAGCAAATCGGGCGTGATCGAGGAGCATGAGCGGTCGATCATCTCAGGCGTCGTGCGCTTGGCCGACCGCCCGGTGCGCGAGGTGATGACGCGCAACCAAGATCGACTGGCTCGACTGTACGCTCGACGATACGGCGATTCGCGCCAAGCTGCTGGAAAGCCCGCGCACCCGCCTGCCGGTGGGCGAGGCTCGATCGATGCGGTGGTCGGTGTCGTCCAGGCGCGCGGCGGCATCCGCCATGGCGCTGTTCCGGGCGAGCCGCTCGACCTCAAGACGCTGATGCGCAAGGCGCCGGTGGTGATCGACCGGATCGACGCGATGGACGTGCTGCTGGCGCTGCGCCGAGCCGAGGTGCCGATGGCGCTGATCCATGACGAAATGTACGGCCATTTCGAAGGGATCGTGACCCCCTCCGACCTGCTCGCCGCGATTGCGGGCGAGTTCGCCTCGACGCCGATCCGGGTGATGCGCCCTCGGTAGTCGAGCGCGAGATTTGGTCGCTGCTGGTCGCCGGGACCATAGCGGCAGATGCGCTGGCCGATCGCCTCGGTATCGACCTGCCCGACGACCGCGATTACGCGACCGTCGCCGGGCTGGCGCTGGCGGTGTTCCGCCACCTGCCCGCCGAGGGCGAGCTTCGTCGAACAGGGCTGGCGCTTCGGGTGGTCGATCTCGACGGGCGCCGGATCGACAAGCTGCTGGTCAGCGAGGTTTAGACGCTTTGGGCTTCGGCGGCGGCGGCAGCGCTACGAAGCCGATCCGCTCGAACCCGGCCTGCTGGGCGACGTAGATCACCGCAGCGGTACAGCGATAGGGTATATCGGCCGCGCTGCCGATCGATGTGGAAATCCGAGTTCGACGGGCTTCCCGTAATGCCGTTATCGCGGCCACCTCGTCTTTGGGCAAAGTGAAGAGCTGATCGACACCTTCGCCGTGCAGATGTCGGGCGGGGTGCGCCATCCACGATCGTTAGCGATGCTTCGGCTTTGCGGTCGGAAGAGCGCATAGCCCAAAACCCCGGGGCCATGGCCGTTATAGCGAGCAGTGTGGCGATCGACCAAGGCCTCATGTGTAAAGGCTATCAGTCGTCCCTAAGGTCGACAATAGTCGGTGATTTTCGAACGTCGAAAATCATGGCGGTGATTGTCGTTCAGCGCAAATGCTGACATGATCTGCCCATGCCGATAATTCTGCCATTATTGCTCGCGGCCAGCTCGGTTTCTGCCGTGCCCTGCGCCGATGGCAATTGGATATTCCACTCCGGGAAACGGCACTGTTTCACTTTGGTGTGCGTTCCTCGGAAAAGGACTGGAGGCGAGTTGGGAACAGCCGCAACATTTTGAATCGGATGAGGAAAGCGTCACGAAGGTGCGTGGGCCCATCGTTCGGCGGGTGGCACGATCGGCGCGACCGGTGGGCGGGGACTGGAACTGACCTTCGACGATCCCGAACCAAACAGCGAGCCTGACGTGTTCGCGTCCATTGTGAAAAAGGACGGGACGCTGACCGCCTCCTATGCTGCCTTCGGACCGATCCGCTGCATCTGGTGCGGGCACCCGCCACCAAGCCCATATTGGGGCCGTGGGACGCCGCCCGCGCCTATCCGACCGTCACGTCGCGCCGACCAATGCCGAGATGACCGCCATCTTCGAGGCGGATCAGAAGGATCGCATGACGCCGTCGATCGACTGGGCGGTGGTCGGCGCGGCCGACCGGAAGCGCAAGGCGCGGACGCAGGAACTGCTCATTCGGGTGCACTTCACAGCGGCGACGATTTTTACCACGCCGCCTTCCTGTTCCAGCACGGCGATGGACCGAACGACTATCTGAAGGCGCATCTGCTCGCGACAATCGCGGCGGCGCACGGCAAGCCGCAGGCTGTTGTGGATCGCCGCCACGCTCGACCGCTATCTCCAGTCGATCGGCAAACCGCAGGTGCTGGGCACGCAATTCATGGTCCCAATGCCGGCAAGACGACGCAGGACCCCCTGATCGGACGCTGATCTCGGATGCCCTGCGACAGGCGCTGCATGTGCCGCCGCTGGCCGAGCAGGAAAAACAGCGCGCCAAGGCTATGACGACGAAGCGGCGGCCGAGGCGAAGGTCGCCAATGACAACCATGATGCCGCCTCCAAACCGGCCTCGACTGAATAATGGCTATAGCGGGGCAGCCTCAACCTTCATATATGATATCCCTGAGGCCACCACCCGCGAAATCTGCGGTAGGATATGCTCGATGGCAAAAGGCATGAAGTTCGGCCAGCGCGAGGCGCAGGCGTCCTCCGCGATGACGACGTCGTAGGACAGCTCCACGCCGAGCGGGCGGTGGATTCCACGCCCATGTTTGTGGCGATGCCGGCGATCACCACCGTCCGCACGCCGCGCCGCCTCTGTTGCAGGTCCAGATCAGTGCCGGTGAAGGCGCCCCAATGATGTTTGAGCACCACGATATCGCTCGGCTGACGCAGGTCGGGCACGAATCGCTGAACTCGAGCGGGTGCCTTCGGGGTAGGCTGGGTCGGTCGACCGTCTGGCTGGGCATCGTCTCCGGCGGCCGACATAGACGAGATGACCGGCGCCCGCGTCACGGAAGCGCTGGGCCAGCGTCTGTGCGGTTCGGACGACGTCCTCGCCTGAACGTGGGGGACCCTCAGCGCGGGGAACGATGCCCTTTTGCAGGTCGATGAGGATCAGGGCGGTGGTGCGGGGATCGAGAGCGTGATCATCGCGCATCAACGGCGTCCCCCGCATCGCCGTTCCGAAGCTAGGCGGCGTCCAGAGTCGGCCGAACACCGCCTCGAACCCACGCGGTCGCCCGATGCCAGCAGCCGCGCTCAACCAGCCAGCGGTCACGCGCCATGGCCTGAAAAAAGGCCTGAGCTGCGCGTCGAGCGTCGCTGGCCTGCGCTTCGCTCAGCGCGGCCGTGTCGCCGACCGTGGTGGATGCCATGTTCCGCCAGCTTCTGGGTCAGCAGGCTGCCTTTGAGCGGCGTGATCGGCTGATCCTCAGGCTGGTCACGTCCGCCCGCTGGCTGGGCGGGGCGGCTTCGCAGGCGGGCTGGCGTCCATTGGGGCTGCGGCGGCGACCGGCTCGTCGCTCAGCGGATGGTTGGCGACCGCCGGTTCCTCAGACGCGGCGGCGCCCAGGCGCATGGCTGGCGGGGTGGTGGGTAGCGGCGCAGGCGTCGGAGCCACGCTGGGCGTCGCCGCAGGGCGGGCGTCGGTGTCGCGCTGATTGCGGCTTGGGCTTCGGCTGGGTCAGTTCCGCTTCGCTCAGCGGTGCGTGGTCGGCTGGCGCAGGCTCACGCCCGCTTCCCGCGCATTCCGGTCCACCTGCCGCGCGGCATGGGTGCGGCGGCGCTTGCGGCGCATGCCGATCAGGATGGCCGCGATTGCGCGCGATCGCGACCAGCGATCAGGGCGAAATGGATGGTCGTATGGCGGCTACGCCATCGGGAATCAGGCTTCCAGCCGGTGCTGCCGTCGTATCGTTCATCGCTTCACCCTATTGTCCCAATGCCCCGATCGCGAGCCCAATCGACAGCCCTGGTTCGCGGTTCCCGTAGCGTCGACTCACGCGACTTCGCGCCAGCCGATATCGCGGCAGAAACCGTCGAGGAAGCGGATCGCATCGACCGCGCGATAGGGCGCGGCCTGCACAGCCCCACCGTGGCGGCACTGGCGGTGACGGCGAGCACACGGCCGCCGCTGGCGACCAGATAGTCACCGTCTGCCGGGTCCCCGCCGGAAAACGACCGCGCCAGTGGCTTCGGCGGCGTCGATCGCGTCGATCGTGCCGCCGGCCTTGGGCGTGCGATAGCCGGAGGGCGGCCATGACGACGGTCAGTGCCGGATCGTCCGGAAAGTGGGCGCGGGCAACGCGGCCAGCCGTCCCTCGGCCACCGCCAGCATCACCGCCAGCAGATCAGCCTTGGAAGCGCAGCATCAGCACCTGACATTCAGGATCGCCAAGCGCGCATTATATTCGATCCTTCGGCCCCTGTTCGGTCAGATCAGCCGGCATAGAGCACGCCTGAAAAGTGCGTCCCCTCGGCGCAGCGTATCGACGGTGGGGCGGACGATTCCGGTCGATCGCCTGTTGCTCCAGTTCCGGGGTTAGCACGCGCGCGGGGGCTGTAGGCGCCCATGCCGCCGGTATTGGGGCCGGTATCGCCATCGCCGACGCGCTTTCAGACCTGCGCCGAGCCGAAGGGCAGGAGCGCCTCGCCATCGGTCAGGGACGAAGAGGTTGGCCTCCGCTCGAGAAATTCCTCGATCACCACTTCCGCGCCTGCGACTGAGAACAGGTCGGTGATCGGCCTCGGCCTCGGCCTTGGTAAAGGCGACAGTCACGCCCACTTGCCGCCGCCGTGCCGTCAGCCTTACGACCACGGGCAGGCCGAAGGTCGTGGCGAGCGCCTTGCGCCTCTTCCATGTCGACACGCGGACATAGCCGGCTGGCGGTGGGGATGTTTGCGCGGCACAGATCCTTGGTGAAGCCCTTCGACCCCTCCAGCTGCGCGGCGGCCTTGGACGGCCCGAACACCGGTACCCGCCGCCGCGCAGCCGTCGGCCAGCCCGTCGACCAGCGGCGCTTCGGGCCGACCACGACGAGGCCGCCCCACGTTCCTGCACGAACGCCACCACCGCGGCGTGATCGGTCGCATCCAGCGCCACGCAGGTCGCATGGGCGGCAATACCGGGGTTACCGGGCGCGGCGTAGAGCGTATCTAACCCGTTCGACTGTGCCAGCTTCCACCGCCAGCGCATGTTCGCGGCCACCGATCCCAGCAGCAGGACGATTTCATGCCCGATCCTTATCCCTATGACGAATTCGAGGCTGGTAGCTGAGGAGATCGCCGGCGACAACGCGCTCGCGCTATCGGTCGGCGAACTCAGCCTGAAGCTGAAGCGGATGGTGGAGGGCGAGTTCGTATGTCCGCCTGCGTGGCGAGATTTCGGGCTATAAGCGCGCGACCTCTCCGGCCATGTCTATATGAGCCTGAAGGATGAGAATGCGGTCATCGAGCGCGGTGATGTGGAAGGGGCGGCGAACACGCTGCCCTTCCAGCCACAGGACAGGATCGAGGTGATCGCCACCGGCCGCCCGACCACCTCCCGGCCGGTCAAATACCAGATCGTCGTCGAGCGGATGGAACTGGCAGGCGCAGGCGCTGATGGCGTTGTTCGGAGAAGGCCAAACTGGCGGGCGAGGGCTGTTCGACCGCGATCGCAAGCGCGCGCTGCCTTCATGCCGCCGGTGATCGGCGTCGTCACCTCGCCGACCGGTGCGGTGATCGGACATCCTCCACCGGCTAGATCGTTGCCCGACCCCATGTCATCATCTGGCCGGTCAAGGTACAGGCGCGGGCTCGGCGGAAGAGGTCGCTGCCGAAGCGTCCGGGGCTTCGATGCGATCCAGCCGGGCGGACCGGTGCCGCGCCCCGACCCGTGATCGTCGCACGTATTGGTGGCTCGATCGAGGATCTGTGGTCGTTCAACGAGGGAAATCGTCGTCCGCGCGGTCGCCGATTGCGCGATCCCGGATCATCTCGGCGGTCGGGCATGACGGACACGACGCTGGCGACTTACGCCGCCGATTTGCGTTGCGCCGACCCCGACGGCGGCGGCGGAGATCGCGCCGGTGCTGGCCGATCTGCGCCTGACGGTGGCCAGCCATCGCCAGCGCACCGAAGCGCTGGCGCACGTCGCTATGTCGAGCGGGGGCGCGAGCGGCTGGAGGTGATAGCGGCTGCCTGCCGCGCGACCAGTTGTTGGGGCCCCAACGCCAGCGTGGATGAGGCGGCGCGGCCTCGATCGCGGCTTGGAGCGGCGGGGTGACGCTGGCGCGCGGCGGGCTGACCGGGCGGGGCGGCGTTGCGCCCGGCGATCCTGAGCGTCAGGTGGAGCGCGGTCGCACCGGCTGGGTCTGTACTCGCGGCTGGTCCAGCTCGCTCAACCCCGACCGCATCTGGAGCGCGGCTATGCCCGGATCACCGCGGCCGGGCGGGCTGTCTCAGCGGAGGCTGCGCGGGCGGCCGATACGCTGACGCTACGGTTCCGCGACGGTACGGTCGATGTCGTGGTGGATCAGGGCGGACTTGAGCGTCCTGCACCCAAAACTATGACAAGCCCAAGCGGAGCCGAGGCCGATCCGTCTCCAGCCCAGCCAGCCCACGCTCTGATCCAAGGCAGACCCATGTTGATGTCGAACACCGACGCCCGCCCGGCCCACTATCAGCCAATGGCTTTCGCGTCCTGTCGCCGGCGATTGATCGTCTGCGCGGTGACCGGGCGGCGCATTCCGCTGGAAGACCTGAAAATATTGAGCGCCGCGCGGCAGGAAGCCCTATGCCCCGATGCGCGCGACTGCACAGGTGCTGGCGCCGTAATGAGGATGGGCGGCGGATCGTTTTGGCATGGCTCTATGGCTGAGCGCTACCCTGCGCGGCGATGGCGCCGCAAGCCGCCGCCCGATCGCTGCGCCGCTGCCACCCATCCGCTGGACCGGATAGTTGGACGGGCGGGCCTGATCCGGGGAGCGCCGGTCGGCACGGTGTCGGTTGCGCTCGATGGCGAAATTCCGATGACGCCGGACGGGCCTTCCTGATCGGGTTCGACCGCGATGCCGGGCCCAGCGCCCAACTGGTCACGACCGGGTCGGATGGCCGCCAGCTCCCAGACGCGGATCGCCCCGAGTTCCAGCGGCCGTCTGCCCAAATATCCGTCTGATCCGGTTCAGCGGCTGCGCCCCGCCGGCTGGACAGGTCGCGCCGCCCGCGCAGGAGACCACGACGCGACGGGCTGGCGCCAGACACTCAATGGCCGGTCAAGGGCCGCATCCGGCCTGTTCGGCGCGCAGCGCATCTATCGCGGCGAGCCGGGCGGCTATCATTCGGGGACCGACATCGCGGCGACCACCGGCACCGTCGTCCGCGCTCCCGCCGACGGGGTGGTCATTCTGGCAGCGGACCAGCCTTCACGCTGGAGGGGCATCTGCTGATGCTCGACCACGGCGGAGGCCTGAACAGCGCTTTCCTCCATCTGCGCGCATCGACGTCCGCCCCTGGCGAGCATGTCCACCGGGGCCAGCCGATCCGTGCGGTCGGCGCCACCGGCCGCCACCGGCCCCCATCTCCACTGGAGCCTGCAATGGCGCGGGAAGCCGCAAGCTCGACCCGCTGCTGGTGACGGGGCCGATGGGTTGAGGGCGGCGGCGGCTATCGAATGCGTTTGACCAAGACCGATCGGCCGCCCTCTATCGACGCGATAGCCCCCAGCGATGCTTCTTTCAGCACGATCTGTCGCCGGGTCGGGCTGAAGGTCATGCTGTCGATCGTCGCCAACCGATCCATTGGCCAATTCAAATTCAGCGTCCATAGACGTTGGTGGTTTTGGCCGATTTGATCGTTCTTTCGAGCTGACGGACAGCCGTATTGTCATCCGCCTTGCCGCCGCCGAACATCTCGTCCGTTGGGACGCCAAGCCAAATCGCGATTGTTTGCGGGCAATGACGGCCTGCGATCCAGCACCATCAGATCGCCCGAGGCCCGCGACGCCACGATGGCGGCGCTGGCGCGATCACAATATGCAGGCGCTCGTCATTTCTGGGCTATGGCCTTGCATCGGATCAGTTCATCGAATTGACGAACGGCCCGCCGTCTTGAGCCCGCGAGCGGGACGGCAGTCGCCAAGACCGCCATTGGGCTTATGATCCTGATATAACGCCATGGGGATTTCATTGTCCTGCGCCTCCGGTGCCAATCAGAAAACCACCTGTTGAGCCGCGGCACGTGCTCTGGTTGCTACGCGCCCACATTGTTCGCGTGACATGCAGATTTTGCGCCCTTTGACGAACGAACCCGTTTCCACGATCCGTCAACAGATCGGCTTGTCGGCCACTGCTCCCGCCGGGGCAAACAGGTTTGTCAGGCGCTGGCGCGACGGCTTGGGCTGCTGCCGCCGAGCAGGAATGTTAACGTAATATATTCCGTCGGAGATGAAGTGACACCGTATCCCAGATATCCAGCGTGAACGCGCGACCGCAAGTCAACGGATTGTTGCGGCTTTTGCTCTTTGTGCCACACCTTATATGCGCGAATCTCACGCTATTTGCACTTATGCTACAATGCAGCAAAAAGGTAATAATCTAACCTAAAAGCTAATTGTATAAGGTTTTGTAGCCCGTTTACGCTGTTCCCTCATGCCGCAGGGCCAACCTGCGCAGAAAGAGCCTCCCGGCAAACTGGGGGCATAAAAGGGGTTAGACATGTTTTTCCATGGCCAGTTGCTGGCCACCAGCCTGCTGGCTGGCACGGTGGTCTTCGGGGCGGCACCCGCCTTTGCACAGACCATCGATCAGACGGGCAACGCACCCGTAGCGGCCCGGCCGCCCAAGAACCCGGCGTCCAGACGAGCGATCGACCTCTCCAGCCACCCAGACCGGCGACGTCGTCGTCACCGGTACGCTGATTCGTAACCGAACATCGTGGCGACCAGCGGTCACCGTCGTCAGCCGGGGAGGAAATCCGCCTTCGTCAGGTAAACGTCGCCGAGCAAATCCTGCGCGAATTGCGGGTGCGGTCCCCCTGATCGGTTCGCAGGTCAATAACGGCAATGGTGGCGCGTCGTTCGTCAACCTGCGCGGCCTCGGCGTCAACCGCAACCTCGTCCTGCTCGACGGCGCGCGTATCGCACCGCGAACCTCGGCGGCGCGACCGACCTCAACAATATCCCACTCGCGCTGATCGAGCGCATGGACGTGCTGACCAGGCGGTTCGTCGACCACCTATGGCGCGGACGCCGTCGCGGGCGTGGTGAACTTCATCACCCGCAGCGTTCTCGGGCGTCGACGTGGCGGTGACCGACCAGATCGGCAAGGGCGATGGCCATAGCTCGCGCCGAACTGACCGTCGGTGCCAATATGGATGACGGTCGCGGCAATGCGGTGCGCCAAACATCGGCTTCGGGACCAGAGCCCGGTCTATCAGGGTGATCGTTCCTACGGCATTGATCGATCGATCTGTACAGCGGTGCGCGGTTCGGGCACGACCGTTCAGGTCGCTTCTCGGTTCGGATCAGCGGGCACGCGCCAGATCAACTGTGCGGGCACCGCGTTCGTCCTGACCTATTCGCTGTTCCCTCAATCCGTACAACATCTATCAGACGCTTAAGCGCTTCAACATCTTCGGTTCAACCTGTTACGAGGTTTTGACCACCGGATTCTACAGCCAAAGATGTACCGAAGAACACGGTGTCGACGATCATCGCGCCGTCAGGCACCTTTCGGCAATCCGCCACTGTTTCGGATCAGCAACCCGTATCTGTCAGGCGGGGTGCGTGACAGCTTCTGCTTGAACGCAGTCGATGCCGATCCGACCACCACGGGCCCGTCAGGCGCCGACCCGTGCGCAGTGTAATGCCTATTACCGCGACCAGCCCGACCGATGCGAACTACCGCACCTTCACGACGGCCGCCTTCCGGCGCTTCGTCGAGGCTGAGCCGCGTATTGTCTCAGAATACACCACGCAGCTGTTTAACATCACGCGGGTGTCCGTGGCGCACTGGTCGGCAATCTCAACTATGACGTGTTCGGCACCTATGGGGCGA